TACAGATACACTTGCCGACAGGTATTTTTAAATAAATTACCAAAATAACTGAAAGTCGCTATTATATTACTGACAAATAAAATATGCAAAATTTTAAAATATTGTGCCAAGAATTTTAAAAATTTGGCAAAGAATTCTCCCAGGAGCATAGGGGTTGTAACAGTCAAGTTTGAAAGACCTGGAACATCTGTGGCAATCAGACACTCTTCAGATAACTGAAGTGGTAACAATGACGATTCTAAACTAGTACCATAAATTGAATGGACCAACACCAATCCTCTTGCAACCATACTGAGCTGACTGGTGGAACTTTTTCTTTTTTAAACGCACTTTGGCCTCCAAACAGGGGGTTTTCATCAGAGCCAGTTCCTTAGGTTCTTTGTGACATCTCACCCAACCTAAAGCAGATTGGGAAGAAAGCACATTTCTTCTGGGCAGTCCTTAAAGAGGATCGGTCCTTGTGCCCACAAGAAAGCCTACTAATCGCATTTTAGGGGAGCCTTAAAAGAGTCTTGGGACTTAGAGGTTGAAAGTTCCACTTCAAGACACATGTTGGGGGGTGAGGGGGGAGAAGAGGTAGACGGGACCACTAGTCAGCTGAGGTCAACATACAGGGAGGTCTCCATAGCCCAGATCAGAGAAGGGCCCTCATAGCCTTCTCTAGCTGGTGCTTTCATAGGTGAGCCTCCCAGGGTTCTAAAATTCTGGCTCGGAAGGGGTAACAGATACTGCACTTGGCAGTGATCTGCATCTCACCAAGACAATACAGATACCACTGATGTTCAACGTTGATGGAGAAGGAGCAATAGTTGCAGACACAATTCTTGAATCCCAATTAAGATAGTGACACACTTTTCACTTCTGGAGTAAACATTACAATTAATTACCATTCAAAAAACTTCTCATGGAAGTCCTGATTCTAAACAAAGTTTTGAAGGAAAATTAACTATCGTTTATACGGTTTCCCAGACTGTTTTTTAAAACAGGTTAAATAATTACTTGAGCAAATCACATTTCAAAATTATAATCTAATAGAGGGTTATCGATGGGTAAACATTTCCCAGTAAGCATCACCCTTAACAGGTGATGCTCATTGGATAATAATTCAGTATCTAGGGAGCAGCCTGCTGCAGCTGGAGGGCTACTCCAGCCTCACCAGGTCCCCGAGCAGGGTCAGAAGTAGCCGGGCTAGAATGGCCCCTGCCCACAGCTTGGCGGGGGGGAGAGGTGAGGGGGAGATGGGAAGACTCCAGCCCAGCAAGGTTGGAGTATCCCATCTAATTAGTTAGCCGGTTAATCTTAACGTTTAAACTGGTTAACTAATTAAATGGGATTTTATATTGCCACTCCGTAAAAGGATATATCACAGCCTTATACAGCTGAAATTTTAGAGAACCACTGTTGGGTTCCATTACACTGGAAGTAGTAGCAATTCATGAACTTTTCATAGAATCACAGAATTTAGAACTGGAAGGGCCCTTGAGAGATCATCAAGCCCTCACAGCTGGACCAAACACCATCTAGATCATCCCTGATAGATGTCTGTCTAACCTGTTCTTAAATACAGGCAGTCCCCGGGTTACGTACAAGATAGGGACTGTAGGTTTGTTCTTAAGTTGAATTTGTATGTAAGTCGGAACTGGCGTCCAGATTCAGCCATTGCTGAAACTGACCAGCGGCTGACTACAGGAAGCCCGAGGCAGAGCAACTCTGCCTC